AAAAAGCCATGAACTATTTATCATATTTTTTTCAAGTTATGAGAGGAAGTAGCAGTGAGCAGTAGCATGGACACTTCTCCCACCTATTGTTCTATACCCCCGCTCTATATCTAATAAACATGGTAGGATTTTAGGGTAATGGCCGGGGATTTTTATTGCACAGGTTATTTCAAGCCAGTAGTCATGAGTGCCCATACCTTAGTCCAAATGTGTATCGGATCTTAAGAGGAACCTCGAGCCGTTAGTGCCCCTCCAGCTACTCTTGGCTCCAAATTTTACCCTTGCACTTCTTTTTACCCAAGACTCAAATTTTATGACCTTGGCTTGCTTGGATTAATGTTTTTTTTTCGATCGACTGACTTGATTCTTTGATTTTCAAAATCCATTCGCTTATCCTCTGGTCATAATTGGTTCTACACAACGGGCTTAAGAGCAAGGTTTTTTTTCGAAGGCAACAGGGGCTCAGTCAATAAAGAAGTCGCGTTATGGATAGAGGCGTATGAGAGGCAATTACAGAGGTTCGCGTATCTCTCTCCCTGCTCACTGAAACGCTAGGCCTTCAAAGAAGTCCGATCATTCTCCCTCCAGAAGGATCCATGCCCGCCCACCATTCGATATATTATCTGTGTCATAATTTTGATTTCTTTTTCCTCTCCACGGCTCTCGTTATCTCTTATCTCGCTGTTGCGTCTTGAACTTCTCGCAGCGTAGAAAGAGGATTTTTCGATTTTCGGTGTTTTCGGTAATTTTTTCTCCAATAGTGGTCCACTTTGCAGCGCTACTCTTTATATTCAAGTGGAAATAGCACATGAAAGATCCCATACATCTTTGAAGGGAAACATCTACGAAGTCATTGAAGACTTGGCATGCAGAGCTTATGTGCTCACTACGGTAGCAGACGAATTTACCCTATATAAAGTGATCTTTGGGAGTAATTGGATACAGATGTCGCGTTTGTGAAACTTAAAGTCGGATGTCCAGCTGTGTGCCCAGCTATAACTTTTTTTCAGCGAGAAATCGCGGGTTACAAGCAAAGGGGCGGGGTAGGTGTATGGCAGTAGTCAGTATGACACACACCTTGACGTTCTCATTGTTTATGCATTACTCGCCACCACAAGGTGATCTTATTGCTCGGAAAAAACCATTAATTTTTGGGAGGGGCCAAGCCCGAGTTCAGCCGGACTTGTTCTCCGCCCACATCTTTCCCGAGCCAGTCCAACAGCTCAGCGATCTGCCTGAAGTTGACTGATCGGGTCTGTCTTTCCTCATTCAATACTCCAACCTCAAGCTGACTGGTACCGGAATGCTTTAGAAGTCTATGATAAGGGTCCCATCAGGGTCAATGCCTACGTTGAGGAAATAGGTATTGAACGATGCCGCCCTTAGATGTGCGTAAAGCGCTCCCTTACCCTTACCCCTCCCCTCCCCCTCACTCCCCGCCTCTCTCTAACCATAACAATCATAATGTCGTCGAACTTTGTTTATCCTCGCGAACCTCGGAACCCCACCCCAAAACCTTCTGGAGTGCACTAAGGTGACCTATACGTCACTGATGAAACAGCGAAATTTTTGATGTTTCAAATTTTCTAGTTTTGTCCAACATCTGCTTGAAAACCTTCTTCTATTGTCTTTTGACAACCCTTTTTCTCCCGATGCGACCTTATTGTTGGGAAAATCCCACGGTTAACGCCGGATTTCACCGGATGGGAACCCTTACTAAGCGAGTTCTGACCGCTGAGTTCGATCTCTCCTATAAGTGCAACTCATCACGTCCTATTTCGTTTTTGCAACATGTTAACATTTGATGAGAATCAGCTGTTCCGCTGAATTATCGACCACCTCTCTCACTCATGGTGCTCTTAATCTTCATGTCCCATTCTCTCATCGCTGTAGATTGCATAGCGATGATTTCTGCTGAGGGCCTTTCTCAATTTTCCACCGCTTAACTAGTCAAACAATCAATCCGATTTTACTGTCTGTATTAGATAATATTGTTTTGTATAGAAATGTGGGAGGAGTTTGCGGGACGTAGATAGGAGAAAGTTCCTCATAAGATTCTAGTTAATTTAACCACTGCTTTTCAACCCATTACATCCCTCGGCTTAAAGGCACGGGTCGCTATCAGGTCCTTAGGCAATTCTCTTCTTGAGTGAGGTAGCAGGAACCTACCGGTAGGGGTGTGATACTGTCACGGATTAAAAATACGCGACAAGAGTAATGCCTTCGCTTGACCGCTGCTACCGCTGCCACCCTACAGCAAACGTGACGCCTGCACCCTCTCATTACGACGTGCTCTCTCACGTCTCCTCTCTCCTCAAAACTGTTTCTTTCCGACTTACCACGGTCGACTTGCACCCACAAAATTTCAGCTTATTTCTTTTAGTGCTTTGTTTTTTCCCTCTCCCATCGTTCCTCTCTAAACTCTCTCTCTCTTTCTTACATATCGACCGAGATATCCACCCGCCAATTCGACCCCTTGTTCTCACATTTCCCACACGTAGGCCACAAAAACGCTTTGCCCTCCTTCGCTACCCGCCGGTGCCACACACGCGCTACCCTCCCTTACACGACGCTCCACCTATTTCCCTCCGCCTAATTTTCGTCCAATGGCGTTCGTTCCCCTCGAACTCCCATCCCGTTCCATCGACTGCCGTCCTCCTGCTCCTGCCCTGAGCTCTCTAACTTCGTCGCTTTCTATCGCCTCTCTTAACTTATGCCAACTCAATGCACCCGCTCGCTCCACCATCAGCCCCCCTTCAGCCTCGCCTGAGCGCATCTCACCAAAATCATGCGCAACGCTATCCGTCTTCTGCACCATGGTCGAACCATCATGTGAGGGGCAGTTTTTGTAAGCCCCACAAACGCCCCGATCGGCTTTCTGATTGTCTTATGTACATCTTAATCACGTCATAATTGTATTTGAACCATTTTATCGTCGTAAGATTCATCTAAGAAGCTAAGCGCAGGTATAAACAGCTGGAACGGCAAGAGGTGAAAAATTTCGGAATATTTTTTTTTTTAAACTGCCTTCTTGCAAAAAAACAATTGACAAAACAAACTCCCCAAGTTTTTTCCATTCTTTTTCCCATAATCAACCATACAATCCAGCAGAAAACCCTTTCCTTATTCCCTTTAACAAGTCACCAATACAAACGCTGTTAATGGACTCGGGTCAACGGGTGGTTGGCCCTGATTCTGGACCTGCCCACTCGCGTACTGCTGCAAGCCTATCATAGCATCCTCGGTTCATCCCACACAAGAAGCAAATAGTGCACGTAGGTGAGAAGAGCGATCATGAAGAAAGAAAAAAGTATGGGGTGTTACAGTCATTTTTCATTCTGATACTGATGTGAAGGTTATGGGTTTTGCACAGCGGCTCCACATGTTTCAGGATATCATCAACCTCGAAAAAGCAGGGTGCAGGCGCAGAAATTACATGAATGAATGAGGATTGCATTAAAAGCCCTAAAAACCAAGTACATTCGTTCTCTTCGTCTTGTCCTTGCTCAGCACCTGTTTTTCTCAGTACGAGGCTGTCCATGACTACTGTTACTGAGTATACGTTTTACAGAAGTACAACGGTAGCATTAATTGAACAGACCGCTTCGAGTAATCCCCTTGAACATTTCAATTAATCCTCTTGGGCTCCGCCACACTCCACCCCTCTCGTCCTAGTAATTTGTGTGCAACTAACATGTACAGTGACCTTTGGTGTGATCCTATGTGCAATATGTTCGATCCACCATAACGAATGTGGGGGGGGGGTGTTGAACTCGAGGTCCAAACTTAAACGACATGGGACAGCGTGCGAGATAAGAGAGCCACTCCGATTTATCACCCTTACCACAACGGAATGGCCCTATAAAATGATTAACACCACTTATTGAAAACTTGGAGTGCTTTTTATGTGGGATTATTCTTTATTTTTGAATACGAAACTGTCCCTTACTTGTAGTATGAGTTTCCGCATGATCTACAACCATCTTGCCGCCACCTCTTCAAACGGCTCCACGCGCTCTCTTTCTATGTAATAACCAGTCGCCGCGTATAGACCTTTGCGAGTGGTTATAGATAGTTGTGCGCGATCCAGCGCCAAACGCGCATATAACCCCATGTCTAATCGCGGTATCAACCGTGTATTGCCGCAGTCCTTCAAACGGAGTGCTGTTGGATGTTTTTTTGATGGGCGCGCGCTATTTCAGGGCCCGTGGAATAAAAATGTGAAAGGGGGTGGGGGGAGTCATACTTTCAGAGGTTGTGGTATCAGTGGTGGCGGGAGACGGAGCCTTGTTTTGTAACGATTTTCTCTAGAATTTCACAAAATGGCACGCGGACGCAGCCAACAATAATCAAAAATATTTTGGCTTTCCTTCTGTCTCTCACTGAGGGAAAAATGCGGGACGTGAGTGCTGTTGACTGTCCCATAACCAGACTCATATCACTACTGTACGATCTCAGCGCACTATGGGTGGCACTGAGGGCGGTCGCGCGGAACAGGTTCGCATGATCGCCTTTCAGACGGGATCTCAGTCTCATCGAGAGACCGTCTAAAAGGGAAGGTCGCCAAATTTTTGAGATTGAAACAACGGACGCTTGACCCTAATGATAGCGCTTGCTTGAAAACGGCCACTATGAAGGAGGAGTCTCATAAATCAAGACTATTGAATTAAATACGCCTGTTTTCGTTCCCTAATCTCCCCATTCATTGAACTTCTCCTTTTTCAGCGTTCCCATTTTTTCCAGATTCTTAAGCAATTTTTTCTTTAAACACTGGAATTTTTCTCAATAGTTATTATTGTCCATTTTTTGAATGTCCATGTTTCTGGGATTTTTCGCGAGTTCCGCGAGTGATTTTCGGGTATCGTCAGTTAGAAATCGCTTCTCTGATTGCCTATACAGGTCAGCTTCGCAACGATCGCGTCGCACTGAGATCTCGGTGTGCCATTGGTGCGTATCGATCGATATCATAAAGGATCACGTCGTCTCCGGATGGACTCACAATGTCCAACGAATTACGTCAACGTCAACAGCAACCCAACTATGATCCATTTGTGTATTCAAAATCTCACACACCTCCGCCTGATTTTGGTGACTATTCGAGCGAAGATGTAGCGGTGAAGGATAAATTCAAGGATTTCGCTGACAAGACCACTGCACACGGGGCTAAACGTATCCTGATCGCTCATAATGGCATTAGCCGAATGTTCTGGATGAGCTTGATTGTATTCTTTCTTACACTGTTCCTCTATCAAGCCGGTTCTTTAGTCGTCAAATACAAAAAACATGACAAAATCACGAGTATATCGGTAAGTGCAGTCTTTGCTTTTGATGATCAATGAAAAACCCCTGAGTAAAATTTTCTGTTTCAGCTGAAATTCGATAACGTAGAATTCCCAGCGATCACGTTCTGTAACCTCAATCCATACAAGAAAAGCCTTGTCGGGATGGTGCCCTCCATACGTGATACGGTAAGTTTCCTTCAATGTGCTGTACTACTTTCTTAAAGGCAGTGTCTATGCTCAGTCTCACTAAAAAAGCTCCTCTTATTGGTAGAGGTGCTGGGTCACCACTGCAACGCTGGCATCACTTTCATGCCTTTAAATGCGTCACTAGGATGCTGGGCATTCAGGATCTGGATCCTCTCACGCCCAGAAGGATCTGTGCCCGCCCACCATCCGATATATGAGCTGTCTCGTGATGTTGATTTCTTTTTCCTTCTCCGCGACTCACATTATCTCTTATTCAGCTGTCTGCCTGTTAGACTTCTCCTCAGCATAGAGCAAAGAGGCTCCCATTTTCGGAGTTTCTAACAATTTCCTTTCCTTTTTTCTCCACTCGTGTTCCACTTCGTATCCTTACTCCCATATTAGAGTGCGATACCCACTTGAGTTTGACCGGCCTTGCTTTTAGAGGCGCACCCCACGTTCAGGTGGATTAATCCCTTCGGTAGTGCAGAACTGTCCACTGAGAAGCTTATTTCCCTTCTCCCAGCTCTAAAGTGCAATAGTGCTAGGGCGTTCCAAGTACAGCTGCCAGTGCTTCCATTTTTCCAATTCGCAACATGCGCGTATTTTCGCTCTCTCATCAGTTGTGCTCTCTCGTCTATCCTTTCTCCTTTGCGCCCAGTGTCTCATTGCCTTTATAGCTGAACTCAACAAATAATGAAGCCTTAATTTCAATGTCGAAAAGAGTCTCTCACTCTTTTCTTCACCACCGGTCCACTTCATACTCCTTCTTGTATTTATTCGTGCAAGAACCACAGTTTAATCGTGGGGTGTACCTTTAATACATCATGCATTTCACCTTCCTCACCTATCGGGTGTCCCCCAAGAGGCCCATCGCGCGGCGAAGGAAGAGACGCAGACGCGGCAAAGGACGAGTCGCAGCGCATACTGTAGCGGTTAGGCGTCAGGTTAAATAGAGTGTACCATACGTCTCATATCGCACAGCACGCGCTGCGACTCGTCCTTTGCCGCATCTGCGTCTCTTCCTTCGCCGCGCGATGGGCCTCTTGGGGGACACCCTCACCTATCATCCCACAGTGATGTTCTCGAGCTGACGCCGCTGGTCTTTTTCTCGAACCAGGAGGCTTTTGATCTTACACTACAAAGCTGAAACACCTCTTTGCTGATTTTCTTATGAAATGTGTGTTCCAGCCCCACCTGTAGCATTTCTTAGCCATTCAGTATCGAGGCTAGTGATTTTCTTTTGGAGGATCTTCGAAAAATGTCTCAGTTGACCTTTCTGAAGCCATTTTTTTCAATTTCATTGTTCACTTCCGTTATTGTACAACTAATGTTACTCATTTACACAGATGGACGTCTACGACAACGCGAAATCGCACACTAAAGCGGGCAAGCCAAAAAAGCAGAGAATCGGACGAAAGCAGTACTCAGCAGAAGCAGCGCAAAGGGTCAGACAACGCGAACAGATGAGCTTCTGCTGAATGATATGTTCAAGAACTTCGAGTGTCCAACAAGATATTTAGGTGCTTAAATTATTCGAAAAAGAAATCGCTCAAGGACAAGAAGAACTACGCAGGCAACAATTGGCCAGTGAAGGAATAAAAAATCGGGTGAAAAGAGATGTGAGTTCGTCATCTGGTGATTAGGCAAAATGTTGAACTTGAACTTGCGATCTTGTAGCTTATTTTGTGACCGTGCTGTGATGTGCTGTCTGTGCTGGTGTTCGCTCGCGAAAAATCATGCATTGTACGGACTTAAAGGCACGGGTCGCGCTCAGATCTTTAGAGAATTTCTGTCGTTGAATGAGGAAGCAGGATCCCTAATCGAGAGTGTGGAGGTGCTATCGCCACTTAGAAGTGCGCGGCAAGTGTGCTGATGTCTTCGCTTGACCGCTGCGACCGCTGCCACCTTATCAATCATGGCATACGT